TCTGAGCATTTACTTTATCCTCCATAGTCAGACTGTTAATGTCTGTATGTGGTGCACAGGTGTAGCCGGATCTCAGCATTGTCAGCCTAGACAGCAAAATATTAAGAATAAAGCCTCAACACCAGCATATTAGAAAAGACAATGTGTAAATAACAAATTAAATTACAATTATTTCATTTATTAAAGTAGGACACTTTCTATCCATTTGTAATTACATTTAAATGAAAGTTGGTTTCTGTTATTTCTTACATTATAGCAACTGTCAATACTTATTTCTTTACCAGTCTCACTTTTTGCTCTGTCTTGAGTCTTGAATAAGACAAAAAAAAAAAAATGCAGCAACCGAGAAACTGGAAAGTCCTCTGTCCTGATGACTCACCCATGGCGAAAAACATGCTGTTACACAGCGCTGACACTGGAGACTCTCTAAAGATAAATGAACGTCTTGTTTCAGAAAGCTTCACCATATCAATGTTTACCAATGTTTTTCTTTGTTCAATAACAACACATTGTTTTAATTCATTTTATATTAGTTTCAGTTATGTGGAGGATCAGCCAGACAAGACACCACTGTAAATGCTGCTGTTATAAAAAATTAATGAGCACCATTTGAATAATCCGATTATGTGCATTATGACAGATATAGCATTGTTGCAGTGGTTCTGTTGGTTAGATTTCTTGTATAAAAAACCTTCGTAGAATTCCTTATTTCTTAGAATTTCTTACAATTCCTGTCTAATAAATAAAGATCCATCTCACTGGGTTTATTAAGGTTATTCTAGCACTGACTGCAGAGACGGAGCTGCGTTTGCACCAGAGCTGAAGTTCTAAGCGCGTGTTGCCAGAAGAAATTATGGTTCTCATGCAGCAGTAAAAATCTGATACACAGGCATCTTTTGGCTCTGACGTGCCATCTAATAAATGTCTCCTTTAATCTCCCAGATGTATGTAAGATACACGGGCGAGTACATGGACAATGCTGCGTCGGCACACACGTGCATAGCCACGTGTAAAATATAAACCAGAATGTTGTGTGCGGAAAGAGCAAGGGGAGAGCAGCATGTGCTTTTCACTTCAGTAGCTTTAAAAATGAGAGGGAGGCTTTCAGGGGTGCTGGGTGCAACTGACTGTGAGTACACCTGTCGGCACATCGCCATAGCAACCTCATTAGTGAGCCAATTGGATCAAGGCAGAGGTTAGAGACGCTAAAGCAAAGGGAACTGACAATTCAGAGACACAGAGAAATAAAAGAGCATGATTTCTGAGAGAGAAAGAAAGAGGAAAAAATGCACGAGAAAGATGAAGACTGCTGAGAGAGAGAGAGAGAGAGAGAGAGAGAGAGAGTGAGTGTAAATGAAAAGGCCTGAAAGGCATTCTTTCTAAGCTAGTATAAAACTCTGAACATTCTAAATAGTAAACTATAGAGATTAATTTTGTACTTTTTTTAAACTTTTGCTGTTGGAACTGTAACCTGGACTGTAATCCCTTTTGTCCCTTTTATTCACAGGTGAATTGTTCACAAAATAGTATTAACTATTTTTTTCAAATTTTCTCCACAGAAAAAAATATGTCAAAGATAAGCATGGATATTAAGTAAGGAATAAAGCATGATGGGGTGCGATGTGATATAGGAAAATAATACGTGACGGGGGATGTTATTAACTAGATTATTTTCCAGTAGCAGTGTGTCTTAAAATGGTTTATTCCTGTCATAACACAGCGATTACACTTTTTAATTTATTAACGAATGACACGTAATGAATGTACTGTAATGTTATGGAGCATCCGCAAGACAAGTCAGTTCCTGTTTTACTGACATTATATAGCTATAAACAGTTGTTTCCTCTCTTTTTTTTTCCCCTCTTGAAGTTCTAAACACTCTCGGTTTGCTCTGCTTTATGTCTGTTAAAAAAGTGTGTACACCTGAGACTCCGTCCATAAATGTTAAATAAACCTGTGCTTACAGAAATCTTCACCATATCAATGACTAGCAGGTTCCCTTTGTTAAAGAACAGCACATTTTCTTAATGTGTTTTATTATGAGGCTTGGCTTATGCAGAGCATCTACGTTTCTTTTTATCGTTATTGAATGCAGTAATATCCAGCTGCAGTGCCACACACCAAAAACTTCATCTCAGCCTATTGAGCTAGTATATGATTGCTGCAGCTCTGCAGTGCCAGACTCAAATAAACCCCTACTGCATAGCATCTCTGAAATGCACACTTTATTTTCACGAGCAAGCTTTCACTGAAGTTCGTATTAACCACCCTAACACACTTTATCTAGCCAACATGAACTGAAACGCATTTTTAATCAGGGCCGTCTCTAGTGATGTGCCGAGCCCAGGGCGGTATTTTTCATGCAGGGCCCGGGATGAGGGATTGTGGCTTGTGTGTGGTGTGCGCACACAAATAAGCTGAACATAATCAGTGCAAACAGTAAATGACAGCATAGCATATCTATCCATCCTTCCGTCCATTCGTTCTCTATACCGCTTATCCTACACTAGGTTGCGGGGGAGCCTGGAGCCTATCCCAGAGGACTCTGGGCACAAGGCGGGGGATATCCTGGACAGAGTGCCAGCTCATCGCAAGGCACAATTGTACACACACTCAGACACCCATTCAGCCACTACGGACAATTTGGAAACGCCAGCCAACCTACAATGCATGTCGTTGGACTCTGAGCACACAGGGCAGAGGTGGGGTTCGAACCCCCCCCAACCCCGGAGGTGCGAGGCAACAGTGCTAACGACTAAGCACATCATAAGGGACATCATGCGTAGCAAATTAAGCATTTTTCAATACTCAAGGACGTGAATCGCTGTTGCTGTTGCTGTTTAGACAGGACTTATTTCTGTAACCATGCAGAGCTCACACCTCAATGGATATCATAAGATTCCCGTGTAAGAGTTCCACAAAATGAGGCAGTAAGCATGCACCATTACTGTGCTGGTGTAGATTTGTCATATGCCAGGTAGACAGAGCAAACGCCATTAACCGGATCCTGCACTGGATCTTGGATTTAGTGCCAAAAAAGAATAAACAGTCCACACATGGTAAATTAAAATACACACCCAGAGTAAGTACAGAAGCCTATCAGGCTTAAATGATAAATTAATTGGTTACAATTTGGTGACAAATTGGTGACACCAAACAAGTTGAGATGAAATTATTGGTGTTTATTATTAGTGCGTCTTTCTACGCAGCTGCATATGGCAAGTTATATATAAACAATTTGAAATTATGGACGTTTAATCCATATTCTTTCCATGTTTGATTAGTTTGATTAGAGCATGTTTGATTTAGTTTATCTCTGCGTGTTAATTAATACATCAACTCACAAACATGTACTTAAGGTGCTCGTTATTCACACATGAATTTCATAAGACTCATGTCGTAGTTAAGGTTAGCGCTTCATTAGTTTGTGATTAGTACACGCCTTAACTCATCATTAGTTCATATTTAAGTAATTATTCATTCAGGGATTAGTGCATGATTATTCATGTACTGTTACTGTAAAGTGTTAGGGATACATTTACAATATATTTTTTTTGAATCCGTTTATTTCTGTAAAGCTGCTGTGTGACAATGTCCATTGTTAAAAGCGCTATACAAATAAAATTGAATTGAATTGATTTGAAATGTTACCATTAAATTGGGGTAGCTGCTGTGGATATGGAAAAATGTGCAGCTCTCGTTGAAACCTTGCTAAAAAAAAAAAAAAAAGTAAAAACCTCATTCGTATATATATGAAGGTGTGAGCACAAGAGTCAATAGGTGTATGCATGAATTGGATCGAGGACATATATTCTCCTAAGATTTCTATCAAATTTAATATCAGTACATTTAACAAAGCTATCACAGTTAATTGAGCAATTACAAATAAAACATACTTCACGTCCAGCAGCGCGGGCAGCAGATGATTACTGATATTGTTGCTATTTCTTTCTATCGACAGCTCATTCTCAAGGAATCAATAACACATTAATTTCGTACATGCTCCGACAGATCTAAAGTTTTTGTTTATAGCTGTTGCTCTCTGCTGTCTGCAAAAATATTTTCCCCTCCGTGCCTCCTTCGCCGGTTGTCAGAGCTGAAGCAAAAGCAGCAAGCCTCTCGTCGTTTTATCTGTCGTCTGCCTGACCGCACTCTGAATAACATTAGTGCATGATCTACAATGAACAAAAAATAATGTTTAAAAAACGTTAGCTGTAGCAGTAGCTGTTTTGCATGTTTCTTGCTGATTGCGGAATTTTATCTCAACACCCATTTCACACGCAATCTCTTTGCTATAATTTTAGCTGATGCATAATCAGCGTGGAGCTGCACCTCAATCCTTCGCTCGCTCCCTTATCTCTCTGCACAAGCTTTACAGTGCTTCCTGAATGCTTTGTGCTAATTTTTAGTGCTGCATTTGGAGCAATGCTGGTTTTACAGTCAATTAAAGCACTCTCTTGAATATGAAAAGAAATGTTTATTATCTATTATTTATGCTTTATTGCTTTGTGGAACTGGGAGAGATGAAAGTGACCACGACTTGAAAGAACGACCGGTTTTGAATTCCTTAAGACAGTGGTTCTCAAAGTGGGGTCTGGCAAGTTATTAAGTTCTTATTGTTACTAGCTGATTTGACTGTTCTCTTCCCTGATGACAAATCCAGCTTGGTGTAAAAAACAGTTTTTTAAATTAGAGCTACTAATGTATCATTACAGACAAGTTCTTTTAAAGAAAACAACACCGCTCAACAGAATAACAGGAACAAATCTCAAACATTTATAGATCAAGTTAGTCACATAATAAAGAAGTGAAGTGAAGTGACTTGTGGCCAAGTATGGTGACCCATACTCTGAGTTTGTGCTCTGCATTTAACCCATCCAAGTGCGCACACACACAGTAGTGAACACACACAGCAGTGGGCAGCCATTTTAGCTGCGGCAGCCGGGGAGCAGTTGGGTGGCAGAGAGCGCTGGTCATTCACTCCCCCCACCTACAATCCCTGCCAGACCCGAGACTCGAACCCACAACCTGTTCACCTTCGGGTTACAAGTCCAACGCTCGGACCATTAGGCCGCGACTGCCCCAACCAGCTGTGAAATATGAAAGTTTTTTGGCAGCTGGTAGCTGGTCAGCCCGAGCTAGATTGTTCAGTAGGGTTGAACTGAATGGGTTTAATCCAAGCCTCAATAACTCAAAAAAAAAAAAAAAGTTCAGGAATTAAAACAAGATCTAGGGCACCAATAAATAACCAGAATCTTACAGTCTACATTTAAATAATGAGTCTAATATTTAAGTAATTGGATCATGTTCCTAAAATAAATCTGTGCTGAGGGGGGTCATAATTTTCTTTTTTTTCTTTTTTCTTTTTTTTTTTTTTTTAACACAGTTAAAGGTGTTCTCAAATGTTCGGGAATCTTTGCTTTAAGGAGTAACATCCCTGCTATAGTATCACTAAAATGCATGCGAGTCTATTAGAATATCTACTGGAAGATATCTTGATATTTTTAAAACCATTACTAGTATGTGAGTTCATCAAGAATGGGTCGGGCTGGAGCGATTTGTCCTGCAGCCTCACCAACACTGCTAACTAAATTCATTCTTTCTGCTTCTGTTATTGCGAGGTCTGATAATAACCTGCAACTGAAAATGTGCCACCATTATTTTTAGCTTAGAACCTAGAAATTACTTGTATCTGAGCTCTTATATGACTCTGTTTTTCTGTCCATTCTTTCTCATCGCTTTGAAGAGCAATATAAGGATTTAACTGAATGCAGCTCAGGTACAGTTAGAAATGAAAGCAGGAGCATGAGGGAATGGGGTTGTAGCCCTCAGGCAGTAAGAGGGGTGTTTGTGCTACTACTACTAAGTGCACACACACACACACACACACACACACACACACACACACACACACACACACACACACAGTTCTATCACTGTTTTATAGGTGACAATAGCTCCCAGACTGTACTGTAACTGGTCATCATTTATTTTGGTAAATTATATTTTTTTAACTGGGGCTTGGTTATTTTTTTTAATCTATTTTATATATTCACTTGATCTTTCTATCATTTTAATTCAGATGTATGCAATTCTCAACCATTAGTGGCAATGATTGCAGAATACTTTCATTGGTTTCCCAGTTGTTGGAGTGGAGTGAACCAAAAATATGAATGTGTGGTGAATTTGTCAAGGCCACTGTGTTTCTTCTGGCATTCCTGTGATTATTGGAAATGCCCTGGTTGACCTTCACTATTGCTGAAGGTCCTTCTTTCCTTTTATTTCCTTTCCTAGAAAAATCAAATTCACACTAAGAGACTTCACAGCACAATTTCTTTCTATTGACCTCACTTGACCACCACATTGATGACTACCCTATATGATTAATGTTTTTTTTTTTCTTTGTTCCTCCATTATTGGATGCACCTTCTGAGATTACTATAATTTTTTTAAGTTTTGCACTTTCTTCTTTCTCAGGGTTACTTGGGGCTGTGCGGAGGGACCTGACCTTGTTCTTGTCTCTTTCTTCTTTTTTTTCTTTTGTATTATATTCTGCATACAAAATGCTTAGGAGCTGAATGTATCAACGTGAAATTCTACTGGCTTGTGATGTATAAGAAATTAAGCTAAAATAATTGTAGAAGTAATAGGAAGGAGAGACGGAATTGTCTAGGTCTCTGCTCTGTGCCCCTGTGGCCCGTCCATGATGAAGAAATCTGCTGAGGTCGGAGGTCGCAAGTGCTTGTCTGAGGGGAGAGGATCTTATTATCTTCTGGATTTATGAAGGTTGTTATTATTCCTGCCTGAGCGTTTCTGCAGGCTTTTCTCTGCGCCCCATTCATCTGGGAGCAGTTGCTCATTAATAAGCATGAAAGAGTCATGCCTGTCTCTGTGAGGACACAACATGTGCTACCTTTATTAAAACAGGCTCCGACCTCCTCCTGTGGTCCGATCGGCCTGATCCTTGTGGTTGAACTTTACTTTAAGAAGCTTCACAGCATTATGGATGATCAGAGGTTTGCTGTATTTACAAAAGTTTATCTTACCATTACAGCTGGATCTGAAGGAACAATGTTTTTTTCAGTGTTTATGAAGTTTACATTGCCTCCCCTCACCACCCACATAGAACTTTGCTTCTATTTGTTCTTTGCGTCTAACAATATAGGACCCAGACCAAGCAAAATGTCAGATTTTCCAAACAACGGTGAAAGTAAAACATTCTCAAAACTCTGATCCAGGGGTATTCAACTAAAATTTGTGACTGTCCAGCTACACAAAACTCTTACAAAGGTCTGGAAAAGCAACTAGCATGGCTTAATGGTGACAACGTGTAGTTGAATAGTTCATGGCTATAAATAAGACAACTTGTAGTGGTTATGTTTTGTTTCGCTCTAGCGCTTCACATTGCCACTTTTGACTAGAGCCACAGAGTCTGAACAAATGGGATGTCTGTTTTGAATTTGACTCTGGGAGAATAAAAGCATACTTCTTCTTCCATTTATTTTTTTAAACATCTTGTTATTGTCGAATTCAGTCAGTACAAAAAGTGTCCCTTTTCTGACCTAACATCTTTAGCCCTGTAGCGTATAATGTAGTAAGCCACAACTGATTTTTAGAATACCCAAGTTGCTGAGCAATGGGCAGTTTTTTTTTTAAATTTTATTTTATTATTCAACTTTGCTCTCTTGGACTCCTGGCTATGGATGGCTGTGGCCTCATCAGAATTCAAACTTGCAATCTCCAGATGATAGGGTGAACCCGTTTCTGTTGCACCACTCTGCAGCCTATTATTCATGTTTTTATCTGCTCTGATGCAGTATTTTTTCAAGTACTCAGTTCAGCCGTGTGAAATACTCTGCTTGGGTCACAATTAGAGCTAAACTTTCTCCTAAATTAGCCAGTAAGTTGTTTTTGGTCTTAGGTTTTGTTTTTGTGAATATGGCCGCTGATCTCCAGCTGACCTGTTCACTCCTGCTTGTGAGCAGCAGACATTATGCTGGTGCTTTTTAATACAATCCTTTGCTTCTCATGCTCGTGGCATGCCAAGACGCTTCAAGTAGTTTGGGAACGAACTAGTAGATAAAGAAGAAAAAGTAAGGGGATAAGGAGACTTCAGCAAAGGGGTTGTAACTGATGCTAATGGCCCTGAATGCCACAATTCACTGGTCCTTTTCACACCCAGAATATGCAGCACAGAAGGCAGTAAGCAGCATGTGTGTATGATTTCATTCTCCTGCTTTGATTAGATGAGATTTCTCCATTTTGCACAGCTCCAGGGAGTGTGCAGAATTCCAGTAGTTTTTTGTTTAGCACCTCCTCTGTAGTGGTACACCTGCCACCACAAAAATGGCACACTCCGCCTGGAGGTCTCCTGCTCAATTATTACCACTGACACCAATGCAGAACACCTGGGTGAATTAAGGATGGTATCCTTCTGCTTCAATTATTTTCTTATGCATTAATTTATTTGCCATGTGATATGTAAGGAACAAAACATGACAGAGCATGCTGAGACTGGAAAATAATCAATGACAGGGTGGTGTGATGTGGTTACCACACCAAAGTTTATTATTTTCCAATAACATCACATCCTGAAGTATTTTAAGCCTTACAGCAATTTGCCAACGATTACATTTTTTACATTTATTAATGAATGTCATGTCATACCTTTTATCCAATTTTAGTTACTTTTAATGATGTTGAACATCTGCAAACATGTTCAAGTCAAGTGAGTTTTTATTGTCATTCCACTATTTAGCTTGTATACATTGGAACGAAATGTCGTTTCTTCAGGACCATGGTGCAAGACATAACATTACGCAAGACTACATAAAGTGCAGATACTCAACAGTGTCAGACGAGTGCAAGACAATAAATACACAGAACAGGACAATAAATACACAGAACATGGGCTGTAAACTATAAACTACTGTGTGATGTAGCAGCAATATTGGCAGCAAAAACAAGTTCCATAATATAAAAGTGTCTGATGCAGCTTTGTAAAGTGTGGTGTGCAGTGGTACTGAGTCATACTGGGTTAAGTGTTTGACTAGCCCAGGTGAGCATTGGGAGGCAACAGGGTGTTGAGTAATCTGACTGCGTCAGGGAAGAAACTGTTGCAGAGTCTGCTGGTGGTGGCACGGATGCAGGAGGGTGAAGAGTCCATGAGAGGGGTGAGAGGGGTTCTCCACAATACTAGTGGCTAGATACAGCGGTTACTGAATGAGGTTTCGATGGTGGGTAGAGAGACTCTGATGATCTTTTCAGCTGTTCTCACAATTCGCTATAGGGTCTTGTGGACAGAGACTGTGCAGTTCCCGTACCACACAGTGAGACAGCTGGTCAAGACACACTCTATCATCAGTGTGAAGAAGGAGGTGAGGATAGGAGGGGGAGTTTGGCTCTCTTAAGTTTCCGCAGGAAGTGGAGGCACTGCTGGGCCTTCTTGGCTAGGCAGGTGGTCTTGAGAGTCCAGGAGAGGTCCTCCGTCAAGTTAGTTCCTGTTATCACATACAGTACACCGATCAGTCATAACATTAAAATCACCTGCCTAATATTGTGTAGGTCCCTCTTGTGCAGCCAAAACAGCTCTGACCCTTCGAGACATAGACTCCACATGACCTCTGGGTATCTGGCACCAAGATGTTAGCAGCAGAACTCTTAAGTCCTGAAAGTTGCAAGGTGGGGCCTCCATGGATTGGAATTGTTTGTCCAGCACATCCCACACATTCTCAGTCAGATTGAGATCTGGGGAATTTGGAAGCCAAGTCAACACCTTGAAATCTTTGTCATGTTCCTCAAACTATTCCTGAACAATTTTTACACTGTGGCAGGGTGCATTATCCTGCTGAAAGAGGCCACTGCCATTAGAGAATACCATTGCCATGGAGAGTGTACTTGGTCTGCTACAATGTTTAGGTAGGTGGTAAGTGTCAAAGTAACATCCACAGGAATGCCAGGATCCAGGGTTTCCCAGCAGAACATTGCCCAGAGCATCATACTGCCTCCGCCGGCTTGTGTTCTTCCCATAGTGCGTCCTGGTGCCGTCCCTTCCCCAGGTGAGCAATGCACACACACCCGGC